GCTGGGCATAGCACAAGAAGGCCGATGCCTGCAGCGGAGTAGCAGCAGCCACACTTAAGGCAGTAGGGTAGACAGCCACCACCATCGCCTCCACCACCGATGCGAACATCACCAAGTCAGCCACCCCCATCTACGCCACCTAGGTCTGCTCCGAGGCAGGCACCGCCGCAGCCGCATGCACCGCCGACCTGGCCGCCTAAGCCCTCTCCACCACAGCCGTCACCGCCGCCGCCGAGACAGCCTCCACCTTCACCGCCTCCTCCGTCTCCACCACCGCCGTCCCCGCCGCCTCCCTCGCCGCCACCGCCATCGCCGCCTCCTCCCTCTCCACCGCCGCCCTCGCCTCCGCCGCCCTCACCGCCGCCACCGAGCCCGCCGCCACCCTCGCCGCCGCCACCCTCTCCTCCTCCGCCCTCACCGCCCCCGCCTTCGCCGCCCCCGCCCTCTCCACCGCCGCCCTCTCCCCCACCCCCTTCGCCGCCGCCACCCTCACCTCCGCCTCCATCACCGCCACCGCCCTCGCCACCACCGCCAAGCCCGCCCCCGCCCAGCCCTCCGCCTCCCTCGCCGCCGCCACCAAGCCCACCTCCACCCAGCCCACCACCTCCAAGCCCGCCTCCGCCCTCGCCTCCACCGCCAAGCCCGCCCCCTCCGAGTCCGCCGCCTCCGTCGCCCCCACCGCCCTCGCCTCCACCGCCCAGCCCGCCACCTCCGTCGCCGCCGCCGCCCTCGCCGCCGCCGCCCTCGCCGCCACCGCCCTCGCCGCCACCGCCCTCTCCGCCGCCACCGTCGCCTCCCCCTCCTTCGCCACCACCCCCTTCACCACCACCGCCGTCACCTCCGCCACCCTCGCCCCCTCCGCCTTCACCGCCTCCTCCTTCGCCGCCTCCGCCGTCGCCACCACCCCCGAGCCCACCTCCGCCTAGCCCGCCGCCGCCATCACCACCTCCGCCCAGCCCGCCTCCACCCAGCCCGCCTCCGCCGTCGCCTCCACCACCTTCTCCACCACCGCCGTCGCCGCCTCCTCCAAGCCCGCCGCCACCATCGCCCCCTCCACCCTCGCCTCCGCCGCCCTCGCCGCCACCTCCTTCACCGCCGCCTCCGAGTCCGCCGCCGCCCTCCCCGCCGCCGCCCTCGCCACCACCACCCAGCCCGCCTCCTCCGTCGCCTCCCCCGCCCAGCCCGCCGCCGCCCTCGCCTCCTCCGCCCTCGCCTCCTCCGCCCTCGCCGCCGCCTCCCAGCCCGCCGCCCCCGTCGCCGCCTCCGCCCTCGCCGCCTCCTCCGTCCCCACCTCCGCCGAGCCCGCCGCCCCCCTCACCGCCGCCGCCCTCCCCGCCCCCTCCGTCGCCACCCCCACCCTCGCCGCCCCCTCCGTCGCCGCCCCCGCCCTCGCCACCCCCGCCCTCGCCGCCGCCGCCCTCCCCGCCGCCGCCGAGCCCGCCCCCCTCACCGCCCCCTCCGTCGCCACCACCGCCCTCTCCGCCGCCACCGTCGCCTCCCCCTCCTTCACCACCACCCCCTTCACCACCACCGCCGTCACCTCCGCCACCCTCGCCCCCTCCGCCTTCACCGCCTCCTCCTTCGCCGCCTCCGCCGTCGCCACCACCCCCGAGCCCACCTCCGCCTAGCCCGCCGCCGCCATCACCACCTCCGCCCAGCCCGCCTCCACCCAGCCCGCCTCCGCCGTCGCCTCCACCACCTTCACCTCCGCCTCCATCACCGCCACCGCCCTCGCCACCACCGCCAAGCCCGCCCCCGCCCAGCCCT